CTTAAATTCATGTTTGCTAGTCATTACTCCCTTTAGAACATAAATTGAATTAATTAATTATCTTCCCTTTTGTGATTCACTTATTTCAACTGTTCTTACTTTTTCAAGTACATTTAGTTGAGTAGGTTTTTGGTGAGGATAATTATTGCAGTGTTCCCTATTTGTTCCTTTATTTGTTAATAACTGGGGTAGGATTCACTCCCCAAGTATAAAGGGTAGTGGGATCGCGACAAATAAAAATAATAATGATGACAATAATAATAATAATAATAATAATAATAATAATATTGATAATGATAATGACAATGACAAAGACGAAGATAATGATGATAATAATAATAATAATAATAATAATAATAATAAACAATAATAATAATAATAACAGTAACAATAACAATAGCAATAATAATCTAATAATAATAATAATAATTGTCGTAGCTCTTTTGGTATTATATTAATTGTTTTAAATTTGTTCTGGAACTCTTAAGTAGATGGGCTGAAGTAAACACTTTGCTGTTTTTTCTTTATTGAAGAAAAATTTAGTTTCACAGCTTAGTAGCTTGACCTCGCCTGACTCCTGATGAAGTGATGGACTCGGCATGTATAACACAAATAAGTACCGAGTCATTGTTGAATATCTTTAGGGAATAATTTGGAATTATACATTTGGGTGAAAATTTATATAATGCAAATGGTGCTGTTCCACCGCTCTTCCACCTCCAACCGAGTCCTCACAGTTTAAATCCTAGGTGTACCTAACCTTGTTACAATAAAATGTGCTTTAGCTAAACCTTTCTTTCTTGCACATGCTGTTGCAATTCCTTCCGAAAAGTCCTCTTAGAAATTATTGTGTACCTAGAAGAAATCTTTCTGTAACAAATTATCATAACAATCAAGGAACTGTTAAATATGATGATAAGTATAAAGAAACCAGGTAGGATTATACCCGTAGATAAATATAAAGGAAGAGAATCCTGTAAAGCAGGAAACTGTGTTTCATTAATATAAGATAGAAGCTTAAGCTCATCAGATACAATATGAATGCTGCTGAAATTCATATTCAAGAAAAATGGTATGCAAGGTAATGGCGAAAAAGCAAGGTTGTGATTGTATTACTTTTAATTTCACAATAGCCTGGTGCTATATGATAACCTTCCACTACTAAATGTTTACCTACATCCTGGCATATACGTATCACACTAGTTTGATTTGGGAAAAAAAATACTGCACATTATTGAGATGTGCACGAAACACTAATCTATGTGGTATTGGAGTGTATTCACATTGTTGTAGGGCTGTAGATGCATTAGTTTGTACTATAGTTAATTCACATGTAGCTTCTGCAGCCCGTGTGATAGCAAAGCATACGCAGGACATACATGCAAGTGTAAGTATGTTGACTTTTCTTTACAGATCAAATGGCGAGAAAGCTTTTCTCCTTCTATTCTGTCTTTTATTCTGGATCTTATTTTGACACTTTCACAAATTTTGTTCCTTAATTCATTTATTCTGGTTTTCATTGCCTTTATTTCTTCATAATTCATATCAAGATATTTAAATTCTTCATAAAGTTCTCTTAATCTACTTTGAAATAAATTAATTAGCCCATATTTTTCTTGCAACATTCTCTTACATAATTTTATAAAAAAATTCTTGCATTCTGGTTTAGCACATTGTTCCCACCACTGTAATATATTCTGGTATGTGTTTATTTTCTCCTTAACATGTTTCCAAAACACTCCAAAGTTTTCCTGTACCTCATCAGAGTTTAAAATACTACAATTCAGTTTCCAGAAACCTTTACCTACTTTTAATTTTTTTTAATGTTTACTTTGACAGAACCATTGAATGGTCAGAAAAACTGACTGGAGCAATGAAAAATATTTTAACTACAATATGGGTATTTAACTGCATGTGATTTTTAAAGACATATTTTATTTTTTTTTTACTTTTAATCTTATTAAACTTCTTATTTTATTTATAACATCATACAACATATCAACTTAAGATTTTCCTCATTGCCAGAGATCATGACTTTAGTCCTCGAGTGTACTCATACTGGTATATCGTACTCAATATTAAAGCCTGACATATTTCAATTGAATTTTCACATATAATAATCATTTATAAAATTTTGATTCACATATTCTTTCTTTCATGCTATAAAGTTAAATTTTAGCAACAGTAATTTTACATGACCTATTAATAATTTGTTTGACGATTCTCGGACTAATTCCACAGTTACTAAAATGAACAAAATACTTCATTAGTTATGACCAAATCCTTCGCGAGTTTATCTTTTTATTAATGCTTACTTTTAAGAATATGTATATATTCTATGTGTTTATTTCCCATATCACATTAATGATGACCTATCTCCCAGGCTGCCTATCGTGCAGGGTGGTACCTTCAGCCTGATGGTGCCCGCTATTGCCATCCTCAACACCAACTTTGAGAGTTGTGACCAATTGCCGCTGATCAACATGACTACTGAGGAACGGGAGGAGGTATGGCAGGTCCGCATGCGGGATGTTCAAGGCGCCATAGCTGTGTCTGCTATCTTTCAGGTCGTCATCGGTTTCACAGGTAATGGAAGAGTTGACGGTTGCCATTTTATTATAAAAAGTAAAAAATAGGCTGAATTTCACTATGGTAACCATATTTTCTACTAAAATCCATCAGAAACTATACAAGATAAGGGTTAAAGTTGTTCAATAGTCACTTTACTGTAAAACGCCCATGACATTACTAGCTTGTAGTCAAGTCGAAATT